GAGGGAGCTAGAGGGGTGTATGGTACAGGGTACAGGAGGATGGGACCGAGGGCACAGGGCACTGATTCTGCCTGCCTTAGATAGCGTCCTTGGATTTGTTTCTATTGTCCTGTGGCTCGTCGGCCCCGGGCCCCGAGGGCAGTGGCAGTGCGGTCCGGGCGGGACGGCGCCCTTTATGAGGTTCGTACGGAGGTCCCCCGGGGGGTGGGTATCAGTCCAGGATCGCGCTGAGGGTACAAGAATTCAACCGCCTCCCCTATCACGGCCTGACGCCTTGCACCCCTCCCCCCCCCCCAACACGCCGGCTATATGAGTCAGACCACTCCCTCCCCCTCCCACCTCCCCCTCACTTGCCCGGGACAAAGCAGCGCCGGGGCGGAAAAGGGGTGAGGGGGGAGAGGTGGCGGGGAGGGGAGGGGTCAAATTTCCGACCAGGAATTCGTCACTCGAGTTCGAAATGGCGTACGACGACGACGGAGAGAATCGAGAAGCTCCCCTTCCCCGCCACCCCCAGGGGCTGGCAGGGGCTCACGTGGGTCGAGCAGACCGAGCGCCTGCGCTCCGCCGGCTGGGCCTCCCGCAGCACGCGGCCGCCGCGGCCCTCCCGCGGGCTGCCTACCCAGCGGGCGCCCCCCGCCCCGGCCCGGCAGCGCCAACTCCGACCCAACTTCATATTCTCCCCAAGTTACACAGAGCCAGGTAGCGCGGGTAGAGGAAGCCGCGCGCGCACTTGTGCTTTAGTTCCTGTCAATGAGAACATAAATCACCCAGCCGCAGTGTCGGTCGGTCGGTCTGTCCGTCGGTCCGCCGGTAGGGACGGTGGGTTGAGCCCTCGGGTGCTAATGCCAATGCCCACAAGCAGCCGCGGTCGACCCCCTGCTGCTGCACCCCTCTGCAACCCCAGCACCACCACCCGCCCATCCCTTCCGTACGGACAAGACGCCCTGGCCGCGGCGCGGAGGGAGACCGGAGGTGGTAGGGGCGGTCCCCTGTTGTGTTTTTATCTGGCGCACAGATCTGGGATTCAGTGCCTCGGGGCGGGGCGGGGCCCGCTCGCGAGCGTGACAATAACGCTTGTAACACGTCCTAATCCGATTTCCAGCAGCCCGTCGCGCGCGTCCTCCAGGGGGCCACCCCCTTCCCTCCCTCGCCCCCACTTCGTGCGCTCCCTCCTTCATCCCTTTTTTTTCCAGGTCCAGTTGGGTTCGGCCGCAGCAGAAAATGGTCCCGCCCTCGATATTTTCAATCGGTGGATGAACAAGACGTGGGGGGTGGTGGAAAGGGGGCACTTCCGGGACGTGGCGAGAGGAGTGGGGTGGGCGGGGCAGTGCAGCCCGGCCGGGAGTTCCTTAGGGAGCGCACGGAGCGGAGGGGGCGGAGGGGGAGACACAAGATAGTCCATGTACCGAGGGGCGGATCGGGTTATGGATATGGAAAGTAAATAAAGTTTCATGACTCCTCGTTTATCGTAGATACAAGAAAAAAATTGTGTTCCATGGACTAGGCCAAGAGCCACGCTATAGGACGGGGGGGGGGGGGGGGGGGTGAGGAGGAGGTCGGCGACTGGTGGTCCCCGGGGCCAAGCGTCGCCCTGGGGTTGCCCGCCCCAGCCCTCAATCAAATCGCTGGTCCGGCCCGGCCCGGCCACGCCCGGCCACGCCACGCCGCAGCTAGCGCTCTTAAAACAGGGTTACGACTCCCGAGAAAGCCGTTCGGGCACAAAGATGGCGGCGCGCCGCAGCAGTTCGGCATTCATGCGTGTCACCCCCTGCCGCCGCCTCATATCGATATGGAGGGGTCAGAGCGCGCCCATCGGCTCGCTCTGCACCGGCGACGGGGTCGGGGACCTCGACCGCCGACTCGACAGGTCGTTCCGGAGCCGGTGACCTCGCGTCGCTCGCGCTGCTCGTCGACATAGCGCCGGGCGCCGGGTTGACCCACGCACCGGTCGTGGTGCGCGGGCCGCTCACCGCCGCCGCCGCCACGGCAGTCCGACGTGCGCGGCTGCTCGGCGTGTATGAAGATCAATACTGGATGCGGCCCTTCTGGGAGCCCCCGCCCCGCCCCGCCCTGCCACGCCAAACCGTGTTCGGGACCGCCTCGAAAAGCTCGCCGTCGACTGCTACGCCGCCCCGTCCATCTTCATAAATTTCGACTCGCGCGCGGAGTACTCGTTGTGTGACGACAAGAAGGGACGTTTCGGCAAAGTGGGCGGACGCGAGCGCGTCGGGGCGGGTCCGGGGAGGGTCCCACCCCATTCGCTTGTGTCGGGGTCGGGTCGGCCACGCGCCCCGCCGCCGCTAAAACGCCCCGCATATTGAATTCGAGCGTGTCATACTTCTGCCTTGCGGCGGGGTCGGCTGCTGTGCTGCGCTGGCCGCGCGCACCACCATAGACATGATGGATACCGAGTGCTTCCCCCCCCCCTTCTCCTCCC